TATTTCAATTTTAATAGTTTTCTTTCTGTATTTATTATTAGTAGACTTTTTGTTATTAGAATGACACTAAATCAGCAAGTTCAACTGACATCTAAATATAAAGCACACATCTAAACATAAAAAACACATTGTTTACTGCCAGATTAAAGATTTATTTATGGTTTACAGTATATGACATTTAATTAACAGTTACATAAAGAATTATCTGTGGCGAATTTTTATTTTATTTTAAATAAAACCATTGTATTGTTAGTATTGTTGAACTCTAATTTAATAAACCTTTTTAATAATTTGCATTTCAAATATTGGTAAGCTTTCCCAGAGATGGGTTGCAGCTGGAAGGGCATCCGCTGTGTAAAACGTGCTGGATAAGTTGGCGGTTTATTCTGCTGTGGCGACCCCAGATTAATAAAGGGACTGAGCCGAAAAGAAAATGAATGAATGAATATTGGTAAGCAGAAAGATTTGATTATTCTCATTAAGGCACTCATTAAAAAATAATTAGAAGAATGCTCATCTCTCTTTTAAAATGTAAATACAAAATCATTCTGTAAGATCCCTAAAAAAAAATAATAATAAATTGATAAAATAAGAAATAATTATTTCTAATTCATCAGGCGTAATAATAATTCATAATTATTATTATTCATCAGGCGACCTCTGAGCCAAACTCAGTTAGCAAAAAATGTAAAACTGCATGCTTTTAATATAATGGACACTTAACAGATAAACATGGCTATAGCACATCAGAAATCCAGCGCCAGACTGGTGTAAGGTGCCAAGGAATTCTAATGATATGTGCCTTAAACTTACTATAAAACAACAACAAGAAAAAAATATGTCCCTGTCATCCGGAGGCATCCAGTTTGCCTCTGGAAACGAAACTGCTGGCATTTTTTTTCTCAATGAGCACTAACAAGATGCCACTAAATGCTGCGGACTGGACAGAGAGGAGCGGGAAACCCTCTCTAATGGATGACAAGAGAAATGTATGAGCTTTATAAGAGAATGTGATTGTTGTCGAAAGGAATTGGGAACACGGATGCCTTCTTCAGCCTGAGATCCGTTCAGCGGCTAGGCGTAAGGCTGGTGGGCATAGACCAGTTCCAGAGTGAATTTTGCATACTGTACGGATCATTGCCCAGTTCAGAGCAGTCACATTGAATCTGCCTTCAACCAATTGTGCTTCATGAAACCGTCAACCCTCATTTACGTCTGACTGTTTTCTTCTGCTGGCTGCAGTAAACAAGCCTTACGACAGTCTCTCTCTCTCTTTCTCTCTCTTGCTCTCTCTCCCTGTTGATGTGCTGACAGCCTCTGTCCTCTATGTTACAGCTTTAACCTTAAGCTTAAACACACACTCAGATGTACAAAGCCAAACCGCATGACTATGAAGCATATATGCACATATTACAAGACTTGATCTCAATCTTAAAGACCTTACAAAGAGACACAGTAATAATGCCTAACAAATATTTTATCACACAATCAAAACAGCGGTTAATTGGCGGTTGCAGCGATACCACAAAAGTCACACATTTTTGTTATACAGTTGAAGTCAGAATTAGTAGGCCCCCTGAATTATTATCACCCCTGTTTATTTTTTTCCCCAATTTCTGTTTAATAGAGGGAAGATTTTCAACACATTTCCAAGAATAACAGTTTTAAAAAAAACTATTTCTAATAACTGATTTATTTTATCTTTGCCATGATGACAGTAAATAATATTTTACTTGATATTTTTCAAGACACTTTTATACAGCTTAAAGTGACATTTAAAGACTTAACTAGGTTAATAAGGTGAACTAGGCAGGTTAGGGTAATTAGGCAAGTTATTCTATAATGATGGTTTGTTCTGTACACTATCGGAAAAAAAAACAAAAAAAGCTTAAAGAGGCTAATAATTGTCCCAAAAATATTTTTAAAAAAAATTCAAAACTGCTTTTATTCTAGTCAAAATAAAACAAATAAGACAAATAAATATTTCTTTTCCCAGAAGAAATAATATTATTACAGTACAGACATACTGTGAAAATTTCCTTGCTCTTTTAAATACCATTTCGGAAATATTTAAAAAAAAAAAAAATAAAAAAAATTCAAAAGGGAACTAATTCTGACTTCAACTGTATATTGACTTATTAACCGTTACAAAAACTTGCAAGTAGAATAGTTCATCAGGCTAAATAAAGTTTGTTTCAAAGCAATATAGCACTAATTATATGAACAAATATTTTTTTGTCGCATTGATAGTGATTTTACAAACTTTAAAGCTGCTTCATCTGATGAGAATTTAGAACTGAATCTTGTTTAATATCTCACAGAAAAGGCACAGGCATGCAACCTTCGGTGACATTCAGAAATGTGTGACGTTTTCACTTTTGTTTTATCTTTTCTGAAAATTCATTTAAGCACAAAGGCTGATTAAACCATTATAGCTGGCTTTGTACAAAGCTTCTGCTTCTGCTTCATGTATTTTAGAGCGCACGTTTTCACAAAATACTAATTGTTATTAAACTAATAGCTTTATGTTGAACAACAACCATGTCAGTTGGTGAAAACAGGAAAACATAATTAGAATTCAGACTTAATTAATCTACGCTGGCCCCTTTAAGTGAATTAGCCAATTATTTATGCATGTGTGCCCCTTTGATGCTAACTGATTAAGAGAGAAAAACAGAACCTTGAAAAATTACAGAACTTTCTTCGTTGTTTATAAAATGCCACTAAAAACTAATGGGGGGGAAATTATTTTTGCTGCTTAACATTTAATGCGAGCTGCTATTTTCAGTAAATCTGCATATATAGTAGATTACACACACAGACACACATGGCACACATACACAAATAAAATATATATATATATATATATATATATATATAAATATATATATATATATATATATATATATATATATATATATATATATATATATATATATATATATATATATATATATATATATATATACTGATATATACTAAAGTATGATGAATAGTTATTTATAAAATAAAATTTAGGGTGTAAAATAAAAATGTAGTTTTTATTCCAACTGTCATTGTATGTGGACATCATGCAACAGAGAAGTCAGATTGCATAAAAGGCATTTTTTTTGTAACCTGCTAGTATATCTATTCTATTTTTTTCAAAGATGTTATCAATTGTCTTAAATTGTAATAAAACAGACATTTAACAAATATATCAACATAAATTGTCATTTAAAATTACATATCACATATGCCCTGTGTCCAGACTGCTTTGATGGCTTTCACACGAAATAAGAATAATTTTTTATGTGTTATAAAAATACTATGACTGAGATGATTTAACATGAAGTAAGGTAAGGATGAAATACTAAGTTGTTACAATCAGCAGTGGATGTGTTCCATGATTTACCATACTACAAACGTTTCAAATGTCTACACAAATATGGGTGTGTGGACTTAAAAATACAAAACAATATACAGTGCAACATAAAAAAGCAAACTCTACTCTGAAATAAGTAGAGACTTCAGAAAATAACGTTCTTGAGATGCATTACTTTTGCACTGGGCTTCAGTCCATCAAGTTCGAGAAGCTTCACAAGTATAATTAAGTTCCTTAAGGTAGCTTGGATTCAAAGCATATATTATGCCCATCAGCAGAGCACGGCACTTTGTGATATCCATTCCATTTAGGATTCTCATGCCCTCAACAACGATGGTTTCCATCTTGTGTTTCAATTCCAAAGTAGACTGATCACCAATGATGGCAATTGTCATCACTTCGCTTTCAAGGTTCTCCTCAAATTTTTGTGTATTCTTGTAAAGCAATAAACCTTTTTTTTTTTTTCAAGTCAAAAGACACTGCTAACATCAACTGTTTACCAGGAGTAGTCAAATGGAGAACATTAATTTGGAAATTAAATATAACTCTTTTAAATATATAGATGTCACCTTGAAATGTACTTTGTACCAAAGAGTCTGCCTAAAACTTTTCCAGACTTGCTTCTTGCTTGTTCAGTGGGGGAGAAGCATTAAAATTCAGAACCCCATTTGTGTGGAAAAATGTATTTTTCTTTGGGTTGCTACAAGTTAAATATTGTCTCAAACTAATTGACAGAAATATTTATCTTTCAATTAGCTGCATTTTTTTTTAATTGATGTAATTACCAATACTTTCCTGTTGTGAAAATTTATTTTGATATCTTAAAATTTGTAATCTAATCAGACATTTAGGATTTTTAAGTTACAACTATGTATTAAACTATGTAGTGGTAACAGACATCTTGAGTTATTTTAGAGTGTATTTTATTGCTGATTTAATTGACAAATTTGAGTAGTCAATTAAAAGTTTCTTTGATTCTAGTCAGTTCTAGTTTGCAATAGGAATTAAATTTGATGTGTGCATCTTCTACATATTGCGCTGTCAGTTTCTGAATTCCAATCCTGTGGTTTAGATATGCAAGTGTTGAGTAGTGAAGAGCAAAGAGCAGCGACTGTTTAACAGGAATAACCCCTCTAGCTGCTGGCTTTCTATAAAACTCTGGCAAGAAGCTTTGATGCCCAAAGGTCAGCGATTGCTAATAAGAAGTCAATGGGATACAGCGTTGGTTTGTTGCTTTCTCTCTCTCTCTCTCTGACCGGCGACCCCGGAGCAGTGTTAGGGTATTGTCTTTGAAATCCAGGGCTCCTTCACTTCTACACGTTTCTTATTAGTTCTTTTGAACACAGGTAACATATGGCAGGTTGTGTTTAAAAGACTGCCTGCTTTGACCTTTCCTAGCATGCTAATTAGGCCCCTGAGCAGCGGCGGGCCCTCGTGAGCGCAGCTCAGGGAAACGTGACCGAGCTGGGCCTTATCAGGTAGCCTGTGCCAGCCGGGGAGAGCGGTGTGGACTTTCAGAATTAACATTTTCACTTCATGTGCTTCTAATAATCACTAACCTCACCCAGCCCACCAACCATCAGCCCCACTTACTTTCTCTTTTCTCTCTTTTGCCCGCCTGGACTTTCCACAGGAAATGAAGGTGCCCAAAATTACTTTGACCCCTCATCGGCGGCGGAGGCTGACCCAAGGCGGTGCAGGATGTCTGGGGTCGGAGGCAGAGATGAGCTGGAATTAAGTATGCCATTTTTTCCCCGTAATAGGCCGTCTCAGTTCATTAAAATAGGGTGAGCGAGATCACTGGCAGCCAGTCAGAACGCTGGGCGTGCCGGTCTATGTAAATACTTATACCAATGGGTCGTGTGATAGGCCGGTGCTCTGGCTGTCATTGCTGAAGGTCACCCATCATTGGTCAGTTCCATTTCCGATCCCTATGCTTCCCTTAACTTCCTTTAAATGAAGGGGGTTCCTTCCAATACCGCTACGTGCACCTCAGCTCGTCTATTAAAAGTGCGCTCTGGGGAGCAAAGTCATATGCATGTTATAATGAAACATGGCTATTAACAGAAAAGCCATTCTCACTGTATCTGTTGGACATTGCCATCCTGTAATATTCCACAATCCTCACAAACCTACAAACCTTTGATAATGACACTCTAGAGGTGGGGACACCTTCAAATGATATTTTGCATAAATTTCATCGCTGTCTGACGACTTACATTGGACTTACTTGCATGTTATTATTAGCTCTGAGCTATAATCATTTAATGTAAATGAAGGTCAGGAATTAGTGTCAGTTATAGGAAATTCATGCCGCATGTTCTTTTATGTTTCGTTTGGACTTTGCAATCCATGTAAAATCATTCAGGGAGAGGTGTTTGAGAGCACAGCAATAAAAAAGTAACACATGTCAGCTGTAATTTGACTCAAGTTTGATTTTTCTTTTCAGAATTTATAAACGAAGATGAGAAAAACCTTTATGAGAAACTTTCTGAAATGTTTCAAGAAGACGCCTCCACTGTCATTGATTTACCAGGTAATTGTTATTGAAATATTGAGAAAAAGGCAAGAACAACAACAACAGAATTTTTATTTTTAATTATTCCCTTAAATGGGAAATGAAGCACTTAGTCAAGTTTACATTAATTTGTACATTGTGTTCCACTTTAATGACAATATATTAAATAATGTAACGATTTGTTACATAATAATGTAAAAATAATGTAACCATTTGGAAGAAAACGACATGTTTTACCATAGCTTTTAGACCTAGGTCACCGCCATCTTGCAATGTCAATGTGTCTGACATCACGGGGTTGGTTCCCTTCCCTCAGCTTAACTAATACAGTGAACGACTGAACGCGAAGACTCCAAAACCTAATTTGACCTAATGTGTTTAGTCGTGGAAGTGGAGCTGGTGCAAGTACAAGCATCAGATGTGTGTCTAATATAAAAATATATTTTTATTCTGTTTTTCCTTTTTCCTCTTTTAATTACCGATTATTTGATGCGATTTGGTACACTGTATTACGCTACCTGTCTGGGTTTCAAGCATGGTAGTAACAGATTGAAAACAGAGACTGGACAGCCTAATGTACTCCCAATGCATGAAGTTGTGGATGTACATTGCAGAGCTAGTGCAAATATGAGAAATAAAACATATATATATATATATATATATATAT